AAATGTCCCCAGTCAAATGTAGCCCTTCTAAAACACTCAACTGCATGAGGAAGAATCAGTGCTGTAATCTTTTGCTTTAGCTTGAGTACAATTTACTTGCACTAAGTGAAGATATCATTGGCAACATAACTACCCAGATTACCACTTCATAGAGACCAACTATTTCAAGATTAGAATGGCAGATGCTGGATGCCGTACGATTTCCATGTGTTTCATTTTTCTAGTAACCCTCGAATTCTTTGGGGGATGGATTCTAACACTCTCAGAGGATCAAGGAAGACATACAAAAATGACTGTCAAAGACTAAATTTAAATAATTAGCATGAATATCAAGTCAAACTTATGATGTACATGTAATCGGGTTCATTCTATGAAATCATACATGAGAAATTAGAAGGTGATAGCTAAATTCTGACAGCATTAGTTTTGCTTAATAATCAACATTTCAAACACTTTATGATTTCAAACATGTGAGTAAACTCAATATTACAGAGCATGCTATTGGCTTTTTCTGATTGGGGTTGGTTTTTCATTGAAGGTAATATCCAGCCCTAATATATATACAGTAACTAATCCAGACCACCTGTCTCCTGGTGATCAAGTTCAAGTTCCCACAGAATGTGTCTGGTGTCCAGCCCAAGGCTAGCTGACAGGAAAATCACTGCCTTCTTTTGCAGCCAGGAAGGAGTGACTTTTAAGGGAAATAGGACTTTGTATCCTAACCAAAAGGTAGTGATGATAAAAAGCAAGAAGGAGGGCAAGTATGGGTAAATGCAACATTAGATGGGCCTTGTTTCTAAAGTAAGTATATGGCAAAACTTCCTCTGCTTGCTGATCTAGCAGGAGTGTTTTAGAAACCATTAGACCTTGTGAAACAGGATGAAGACATTCCAGTGCCCTATACTAAAAACTGCAAGCCTCCAGCCAGAATGGGCTGTTTTAAGCTGCAGGGTTCCACAGGGCAGAGCCTGCATGTAACTTATGACACATCTTAAGATGAGGTAAGGATGGAGAATGTGTAACTCTATTTCCTCCCACCACCACCATCTATTCACATAGAATCTTTGATGCACATTAAAATAAACAGTAAAGTTTTAAGGAAAAAAGTTCTTAGGCATCACCCTCCAGGATTCCGATTCAATTGATACAGGGTAGGATCTGAGCTTCAGAATTTTTCAAAAAGCTTCTTAAGGTAGTTCTATTGTGCAGCCAAAGCTGAGAACCACTGTCTTAGAACAGCATCAGTGATACAAAGTAGGTGAGAAATAGCATCATATTAGCTAGTTCTTAGTTGTGACCAAGAGATGAACCCAGCTCTGGGAACCCTCTGCAATTGATGTTCCATGGGTTTCACATCTTGATCTGGGGGAAAGAACTGTTGGATAGAAGCCAAGAATCACAAGAACTACAGAATCGTGGGTTAGAGGAGCCCTCAGAAATCACCAAACTGTAATCCTCATTGCTGTGTGAGCACTGGCAATTCAGTTTATGTCTCTGGACCTCAGTTTCTCTAGCCATTAAGTGATTACATTAGGTAAGCTTAAGGGTGTCTTCTAGTGCTGCTATTCTATCATCATAAGATAGTTTTCAAGCACGGGAGGAAAGAGATGCTGACATTGCACAGTCGTGTTGGTACCCTCTGCACATTCCTCATCTGAAGTCACTTAGCAGCTCTCTCCACTACTGGCCAAATGTCAGCCTGGGCCCCCTGAATGAGCGGCAGCTGGATCTCCAGCCTTAGGCTTTTCTCACCCAGCCTTCTCTGGCAGGATTAAGGCTTTCATGAGATTCTTGTAAAAGCAGCTCATTTGAATTGCAAGGGCAGCCTCTGTGATCTCTCTGCTCCCCAGCAAGCACATGGCCTGACCACTGATGGTATCTGCAGAGGAAGTGGTGGAATGTGGAAGTTTACATGACGTCAGTGCCCTCACATCCTCCTGTCTTGAGCCTGGGGAGCGTAGCCAGCAGCTGTCGTGCCCTGGTGCTCCTTGTCCTCCTGCTTAGCAAGCTTGGGCTACCTCAGAGTCTCCTGCTTCATGCTTTTCTGAGGGGTGGACCTCTGAGCAGGGCTTGAAGAATTGTTCAAAACAACAACAAGAAAAACGTTTGTTACTCACATCCTCTGCCGCAGGCTCTGTACTAGCGATGTCACGCTCCATCTCTCCAGGCCACAGACTAACCAAAATCTGTTGGCAGGCAATTGCTAGGGTGTGAATGTTTGTGCCTCACCCCCAAGTTTATATGTAGAATTCCTAACCCCCAAATATGACAGTATTAGGAGGTGGGACCTTGGGGAGGTGCAGAAATCATAAAGTTGGAGCCTTCGTGAATGCGATTAGAGACTTATAAAAGAGCTCCCACAGAGTTCCCTAGCCCCTTCCGCCATGTGCAGATACAAGAAATCTGCAACTCAACCCAGAAGGCCTTCACCTGGCCCTGATCTTAGATTTCTAGCCACCAGAACTGTCTGTGGTATTCTGGTATATCAGATTGAGTGGACCAACTCTCTGAGACAGTGTCCTCGCTGATGCACACGCTTAGGAAGACCATCAGATCTGTCTCGAACTCAAGAGAAAAGTGTTCTGATATGTACCATGCTTGAGACTGAGAGAAATGAAGAATTTTGGTAGGAAGAGGGCAGATGGTTTTAAAATGCATATTGCAGACCGTTTTAGATTCTCAGTATCTGTGCAGGTACAAGAAGGGGTAATATGGGTGGGTGGCTGGAAAAAGGCAGATTTAGTAGGTCATCCCATGGAAGGGCTTTGAAAGTAAAGGTGGGAGACCCAGAGTCCAACAGAGCACCGATGACATGGGTCAGTCTCTTGGTTCTCTCTTTCAGAAACTGGCAAGTTGGTTCCAATGAAGCCTGGAGCTTCCTTGTCATGCATCTCATGTGTAGCCTTTTGTAGCATGGAAGACAGTGGCACCAGACGCCGGATCTTTCCTAGACCTTCCTCAGACTCATGAAGGACTAGAGTCCTGGAAAAACTCTTTCTTGTGTTGCCCATTTACGGAAGGTGACGCAGGAGCAAGTAGTGACAATTTAAGGTTCCCTCTTGCTCATGAAGAGAAGTTGACACTCCCGCTTCTGAAGCTGGAACAGTGGCTCTATTTTCATGTAGGACTTGTGGAAGGAAGAGGACCAGCAGCATTGCGAGACCAGGAGGGAGCTGGGATTCAAACGTGGCCTTTCCACTCAGCTTGAGCTCCCACTCCCAGACACAGCAAGATCCTGTAACATGGACCTCCAGACACAGACTTCAGGGCCTTCTTTTGCACCTTCAAACAAATGTTCCCTTTGGAATTGTGGTGCCAGCTATTTCCTTACTCAAGTTGCTTTAGCACCCAAAGAATCAGTGTGAGGAACCCAGGGGAGAACACAGGAGGGAACATATGCCTGGCGTTACCGCAGACACTCATCAGCATAAATTAGGTGTTAAGTAAGTATTTCCTTGTTTGTTTCTCTGTAATTAAGAAAAGTGAACCCCAGGAAATCAAATATCGTATTGCTTTACTTAATAATGTTCCAAATCAGTTCCCCTGCCCCCCAATCTTCTGCAAGCAGACCTCTAAGAGAACGCTCTAGATGTCGTCCTCACTCTCTGTCTGGTCCCCAGGGGGCTGGAGAGTGGGCGGAGCAGGGCCTGAGTAGCAACACTGAGAAACACTGACCCTCCCACACAACTACCACCACAGTCTGTATCTTTCACTCTATGAGTAATACACCATGGCCACAGGCAGGGGGGAAATAACCAGAGTGAAGACCAGCCACCTACCCCTATTACCCCCTCTTATACCTGCACAGATACTGAGAATCTAAAACGGTCTGCAATATGCATTTTAAAACCATTTGCCCTTTTCCTACCAAAATTCTTTGCCCCCCAATCTTCTGCAAGCAGACCTCTAAGAGAACGCTCTAGATGTCGTCCTCACTCTCCGTCTGTCTGGTCCCCAGGGGGCTGGAGAGTGGGCGGAGCAGGGCCTGAGTAGCAACACTGAGAAACACTGACCCTCCCACACAACTACCACCACTGTACCTTTCACTCTATGAGTAAAACCACGGCCACAGGCAGGGGGGAAATAACCAGAGTGAAGAAAACAAAGGGAGTAAAAGTAAGAGAACAGAGGGAGAAAAAGGAATAACGGAGGACACACGTGCTAGGGAAGGCTGAACTCTCCTCGTGGTAACTATAGATTTCGAGCCACTAATTAAGCCACGTGGCTTCAAGAGTTCAAGTAAATTTATGGGAGCAATGGGAAGACTTATGTAAAGCTAATAAAGGTAATACCTGCTGGGAAATTGGGCCAGTGGTCGCCAGAGCTGAAAACACAGTTGAGAACATTTATTTATATTTGTTTTTATCTCATCATTATCTTATTTCTGTTCTGGGAATGTTTTATCATATACATGACATGTCAATACAGTAGTCGTACATGTATAAAATTTATAAATAGATAAATATGCCTATAGTAGGGGGCGTATGCTCAAATATTTTCTACTGATGGGGTACACAGTCACAAGAACTTGGAGACCACCTAACCAGCAAATCATTAAAGACTCCACCATTCTGCCTAGCAAGGCCTGGGCCTCGCCAGGGGCCTCTGACAGGCTGGCTTAATGGAGGAAGAAAAGGCAGCTGCCTGCTGGGAAAGCCCCTCTCTGTTATTCTCTAGTGCCTCGTGTCCTTTTAAAGGGTGAAATTACTTGCATTTGAGTGAAACAAAAAAATATTATTATCACGACTGTTACTATCTAACCCCCTAACCAGCCTCAAAGGAAGTCACATTATAGTGGGTCCACCCTATACAATTGTGGTCACTGAAAAGCAAGGAGGGACTGGAATCCACTTTGTGCCCTGACCAAGCCATGTGCGTAGAGAGGGGTGTGTTGGCTCCAAGGAGAGCCTTTTACCAACTGTCACAAAGGTACTGTATGGATCGAAAGGAGCCCTTTTTTTTTCTTTTGCTTTATTTGCATATAATTTTCTCATTGATTTTGTTTTCATAAATACAGTTTATTGCTTGTTTTCTCTTAGTCGAATAATATTTTTGAATGTCCAATCCCCGAAGAGTGCGAATCATCGTGGGAGTGGTAGAATGGGCCTCTGGTTTCAGCAGGTGTGGCCCCTCAAGACACTTAAAAGCCGAAGATCATTTTCAGCCCATGTCTCAGAGATGCCCTGAGATCGTTTGACGCGGTGGGTTGTTCCACACAGCAAGAACTAAGCCTCAGTCCAGTCTCTGTTGGGGACAGCCTGTTGCCTGGCTCCTGGGATGTAGCCTGCCTCAAATGGCTCCACTGGACATAGCCATCCAGCCATGGGAGGTTCCATTTCACTCAGCCTGAGACCACAGTGGAATAATGCAATTCTGAATAAAGCCACAAGCAGTCATAGATGTCCACATATGTCCCCGCTCACCTTTATCTTCCCACAAATCCCACTGATTTATTGACTGGGAAATATGACGTTTTCCCACAAAATGTGCTCTCCTCTTAGGGAGTGATTTTGCTTCCCAGTCGTCAGGTAGCAAGGAGAAAGGGAGAAGTGTTGGGCATTTGTGGCCTGCTTCTGCAGTACTCTTGGGACCCTCAGGCATCAGTCTTGGGCTCCTTCATCGATTTGACAAATTCCTTGACTTCTTCCTCCAAGGCCTTGTTCCTCCTCTCAACATCCTCCCGGCAGCGCTCCACATTGCGGAGGCTGATTTCCAAGGCTGCAGAGTTCTTCTTCTCCTTCTCCAGTTCTTCACTGAGCCTCACCACCTTAGCCCAGACATCGTAATTTTCCTTCTCGAGGCTATGAGGGAGGAAAGAAAAGAATGAAAGAATTGGGTATTACCCGAGTCTTTTTTTTTTTGTCAATGGTTGCTTTTCCCTCACAATCTCCTCTATTTCCCTTTCCACATCACAAGACCCACACCCAACCTGTACCTCTTATTTATGTCCCAACCTCCATGTGAATACTTCCCAGGAAACCTGAGTTCCCAGAGCATGTCTGAGCCCCTATTTTGTCATTTAACACTATCCTGTGACATCTCATATTATTGTTTTTATGTCATTTTATGTTTTGTATCTTCCAGATAATAAAGTCTTTGGAAGAAGGGACCGCTTGGACCACCTTTTATATATGTATATTTTTAACCTCACAGCACCTTGCATCTGTCCTGATCAACAGAAATGTTGATTGACTACTAAAGCCATATTCCAGATTCCGAACTCATTTGTACAGATGAGAGCCTTCTCATCTTGTTTCAGTGGTATGTATGGACCAGTGCCTTCTCTTACTACGGGAGTCAAACTTTGGAGAAGTACAGGAAACTTCCCTTCGGGAGAAGGAGTCCTGGCAGTCCCGGCAGTCCCACCCTTACTTCTGAATCTTGCTCCAGGCGAAGAATCTATTGGATTCTTGAATTCAGAGGCTTTTCAATGTTACTGGCCCAAATCCTATTTTAGTCCCAAGAGCCATGCTGAATTAACTCTTAGGAATAAGAGTATGTACATATGCCTTTTTTTTTTTTTTAAGCCAAAAGAGAGAATTTTGGGTCTGTGGGGACATTGTGTGATTGAAAATTTGTTTCAGAATTTCATTCTGTGAGGTATTGTATCCCTGTTTCTTCAGTGACCTGACCATTTTGTATGGAGACTTGAGTTCCCATTTGAGCCCATACTTGGCTTCTGTTTTCAAGCACTTTGGCCCATTCTGCATGTCATGGTCCCTCTTCAGAGTCTTGTCTACCCCTGCCTATCTCTTTTTAAAACTAAATTAGTCTTATTCCTTCTGGTCTTCCCATTACAAATCTAGTTTTCTTCTCTGAGTTTTGGAGGACATCTTGTTTTGGGGGACATCTCAAATGAGACACTGTCCTATATTGACCCCTGGTTCCAGTCAAGAGGTAAGATCTGAGTGAGCCCAGGAACTGGCTGGCCCGGGTTTAGATCCCAGCCCCACTAATGATTAGCTGTGTGACCTTTAGGAATCTTTTTATTCTTCCCGAGGCCCCATCTCTTCTATAAAATGGGGATATCATCTATTTCACAGGATTGCTGTGAGGATTACATGAGGAGATATGTTTGAAGCATGAAGCTTACACACTGAGAACTGCTAATTCTCCTCCCTCTGCCAAGGATGGGAGGCCACCTGATGGTGGATCCGGAAGACTTTATTCCATTCAGAAGGAGTGGCTGCCTCTATGGCAGCTAGTTCTTTGCCTACTCTGTCAATGACATTCATGTTAGAATATAGTGGAAGTCTTCTCTGGGGCTGCTTTGGTCACTGCCAAGATGTCAAACAAGACTTGTAGTTCTACAAATGATTAATTTTAGGAGCTACATTTTGCTTCTACAAGGGCAGCGCACTGTATTAAACAAAGAATGAAGGCAAACAAAAGTCTTCCTTTCATGAACCCGAGTCTTTTGTATTTTTGTCAATGGCTGCTTTTCATTAAATTTTTATATTTCAATTAGAGTTCACATTCAGCATTATTTTATATTAGTTCCAGGAGTAGAGCATAGCGGTTAGACATTTATATAATTTACAAAGTGATCCCCTTGATTAGTCTAGTATCGACCTGGTACTATACATAGTTATTACAATATTGTTGACTATATTCCCTATGCTGTACTTTGCAACCCCGCGACTATTTTGTAACTACCAATTTGTACTTCTTAATCCCTTCACCTTTTTTCACCATTTATTGAATAGGTTTTCTTTACCCCATTGTGTATTCTTGCCTTTTTTGTCAAGATTAATTGACCAGATAGCTGTGGGTTTATTCTGGGCTCTCTATTCTTTTTCTTTGACCTATGTGTCTGTTTTTATGCAGTACCTTTTTTTTTTTTTTT